ACCCATGTGCTATTGAGAATATGCCCCTTGAATCCTGAAAATATATACTGAATAAACTCCTTACGTATTCTCAAATCACACATGATACATGAAAAGTAGTGCATTTTTTAAGATATAATGTTAAACTAGGATATAATGTTAAGGTTGGACTTGCAAAACATGACTTTCAATCTTTATGAATGAAATAACATAGATAAAATTTCTCAAGTTTATAACTTGAATAAAATCTTATAAAAATCTGTTTAATAGAAATTTTCTAATCTAAAATCATGTTGTAGGCGGTCGTCAGTTTAACAGTCTATCAGATCTGGTCGCATATTATACTCACTGTTCTGATCTGCTAAAGAGAGAAAGACTTATACACCCAACACCACCACCCGAACCAGTGAACGACAAAAAGCGAATTGTCGCGATATTGCCATACACGAAAATGCCAGATACTGATGAGTTGAGCTTTCAGAAGGGAGATATATTTTTTGTGCATAATGATATGGGTGATGGGTGGTTGTGGGTCACTGCTCATAGAACTGGCGAACAGGGTTTAATATTTCGAGAATTGGTGGAGGATCTCGATGACTCAATAGATCCTAATACAGTGTTTTCCTGGTTCCATCCCAATGTCACTAAGAGCGAAGCAGTTGACATGTTGGTAAAAGCAGGACCTGGAAGTTTCCTAGTAAGCAACAAATGATTTTGCTTGAAATTATGCCTTTTGCGAAATTATTTATTTTTGTCAACTTATTGTTATAAAATAAATAAAGACCCTAAAAAAATACAACATATAAATAGGATAGATAAGAGTCAGCGCTGATCTTAGAACAAAGTTGTGTATAAACATAAGTCATGTATTATCTACTATTATACACAATTAAATCAAGATCAAATTATTATTATTAATGTCTTCATTCAATAGGTCAGACCATCGGATAATAGTCCGGGAGATTATTCACTCTTTTTCCACATAAACAATCAGATACAAAGATTCCGAATTGAGAAAAAAGGAGTGCGATACCTAATGGGAGGTAGAACGTTCGAATGTCTTGATGCTGTAATCAACAGGTACATTTCCATCGTCTTAATTTCGCACGAAACGATACGTTTTGATCATTAAAATATGTATTCTTTTATCCCGTCGTGACTCTATTATAACAGATATCGGAAGGAACAAATTGTGGAGGGGCACACTTTGGTTCAAGCGATGGTAACTGAGCCTGACGGTAGTGTCAGAGTTAACAGAGAGGTTCAACATGCCGAGAAAATATATGCGACTCTGAGAGAATGTCGAGAGCAATCGGGGGCGAAGAAGAACAAAGGGATCAAAATGCAGGGTTATCTAGAAAAGAAATCTGAGAAAAATAAAAAGTGGAAAGCGTTATACTTTGTGTTGCTGGTAGATGCTACCGACACGCATCTCTACCTGTACGATAATCCCAAAAGAACTAAACCAAAAGGTCTCATCGACTTAAGCTGTGCTTACTTATATCAGGTGAGAGATAAGAACGCTCAAAGCGCATAAATATACATCCAACAATACGTCATACATTAACATATCGAAATCACAAATACTAATGAATAACATGAAAGTATGTAACTGTTACAATAACATGCATGATATGCGCGAGCGACGTCGCGCCGGCGAATGAAGAAAATAATAACGCATTTGAGGTAATAAGCGCGGAATAAGTGATCGAAGCTGTCTTTTTAGGTCCACGAGAGTGTGTTTGATAGGTCTCATTGTTTCCAATTAGTCGAACGTGCTTTACCGTGTCTGGCCACCATAACTTATCTGGCTACTCCCAATTCCGAGAACGCATTAGATTGGATTAACGCCTTGAAACCATTGTGTGTGTCACAACTTACTCGTGCCCCGAAAGTCGCCCGCCTCCGTGAATTGCGTTCGTTGCACTTGCATATTTTAGATGCGCATAGGCTTCCGTACAAGCTAGTTCCGAGTCCATTTATTATAGTGGCCCTAAACAATGTTAAAGTCGCTCGCACGAAGATTAAAACGGGATTACATCCGCTCTGGGATGAGGAATTCATTCTAGAGTACGTATGCGAATCATTTATCGAAAAAGTAGCACTGTATGACTGTACCGTTCGTATTGAAGTTCACGAATTTGCTTAACAGAGATGTACCGCCAGACGTTATGTCTTTCTCGCTGACCTTGTATAACAAGGGTAAACGCAGCAAAGACACGGAGGTTGCGGAATTGACGGTCGAGTTGGCGAGCTTGACTAACGGAGAAGAAATGGACGAGTGGTATCCGCTGTCAGGTGTCACTCCTATCGGTGAATGGGGAGCATTACGTTTACGTTTACGGTAAAGATCAGGAGATTTTCTGGATATATCGGTGTATCTTTATACACTAAGATATATTATTAGATTCTCGTGTGTGTGTGTGTGTGTGTGTACTTTTATATATATATATATATATATATATATATATATATATATATATATGAGTGTATATCGAGAAAATATATATATTCGCAGATACAGACACGATTTAGCTATGCCTCCCGAAGAGTACAGCCCTCTTCAACAATTACTGTTGGATCCAGAATTGCATGTTGTCAAGGCTTTAGCGGATGTATGCCATTTAGACAGAGTACCCCTGGCAAATAGTCTTCTTAGAATATTTAGGTACATACAAGTTCTCTGTATCACACAAGTTATTTAATATATATGTGTATATATTATATTTTTTTACACTAACAATCTTTTAGGCATGAAAGGAAAGAGGCGGATCTTCTACGATCATTGAATCAAGCTGAAGTAAGTTATAATTTGGTTTACACACAAGCACAAAGAATATATTATTTAATTATAGTATTATGTTAATTATTTTATTTAGGTTGAAAAGGAAGATGAAACACCAACATTATTTAGAGCTGCAAGTCTCACTACTACTTTAATGGACTTGTACATGAAGTCCGTTTGTACTTCGTTTTTAAAAGCTGCTCTGCGTGATACGATTGTGAAATTAATTGAAAGTAAACAGAGCTGTGAATTGAATCCGACGAAAATGGATTCGCCGGAAGATGCGTGTAGTAACGCAGAATTCTTACTACAAGTATGTACTTTTTCTTGCAGTGTTTAAATTAATTAGACGATGATTAAAAATATTATACGTATACCTTGTTGTAGGTATTGGACGAAGTTACATTGAGTATTTTTACAAGCCCCGACGCTTGTCCAAGGACCCTCAGATACATTTGCGGATGCTTGCAAAGAGCAGTTGTTGCTAAATGGCCACATGAAAGACTAGTCAGAACTCGGGTTGTCAGTGGATTCATATTTTTACGCCTTCTCTGCCCTGCCATATTAAACCCTAGGTCGTTTAATTTAATAGCTGAACCGCCTCCACCAGGTGCTGCAAGGTACATAATTCATATATAAATTAGACGCATGCAAATGCGAGATTAATCTAATTTTGAATGCCTCTCCAATCTATTACATTCGCTAATGGTTTATATTACTTTATTCGTAGATCGTTAGTTATGGTGGCAAAGTGTCTGCAAAATCTGGCAAATTTAGTGGAATTTGGTGGGAAGGAACCTTATATGGAAGTCGTGAATCCATTTATACTAAAAAATAAAGAACGAATGGTCGTGTTCCTTGACCAGTTGTCTGTAAGTTGATTTCATATATTAATTTTGATTCCATGTATTTTATTTGAACCTATGGCTGTGTGTGATGCTATAATTTTCAGTGAAATAAAAAATTAATTCAATAAATGTTAACTTATAATTTTTGTATGATTAAATATAGAATGTCGCTGAGAAACCAGAATCAGAAGGTGCAGATCCAAGAACCAAAAGTACCTATGTATCCGACACTGCAAGAGACTTAGCAACATTACATCATATTTGCGTCTCACATTTGAAAGAACTTCAAGTTTTGTCAAAGACCCAGGTGTGGCCATTAAACTTTTTCTCTTTTAATTTGCAATTATCTAAATGAAAGAAGAGATAAAAATTACATTCTTTTTGCTTGTAGCCGACGATTAAGCAACTGGTAACTGTGACTGAAATGCTGAGCAAACATAAGCAGAAGTATATGGAGATGATACGGTAGTGCTAGAGCCATCAGCCATGAACAATGCCAAACACAATAAAACAATTTATAAGATTCACGATGACGAATAACATATATAGTAGTATTTAATTATTATAATTAAGTAATTATAAACGTACAGACTGACGTGCCATATATATTACTGTATACACTCAAGCCTACATTTACTATTTCGTATGTAATTAGAAGTTAGTTTATATATATAAATATATATATATAAATATATATATATATAGTAACAGTAACACATGACAGTGATATAGTTACATACAGAATCATATAGGCGTATAACAGTTTTATATTTACTTAGGTGCTCGAAAATAAATACAACCTCAATCGAAATATTTGTTTCGTTAATTTTAGCCCTACTGTTCCAGTACGTATACTAAAGAATTCTGCTATTTAATCAAATCACGTTATAAAATATTTTAGTTTTACATCTTGGATGCAATCTAAGATGAATGAAGTATGGTTTTCATATTGGTATTAGTATAATTCAAGAATAAATGCAAATTATTTTTACAAATAAGAATTCTACTGCAGCGGTAGTGCACATTGTATATCTTGTATAACAAACAACATTGCTGAATTATATCTTTACTTACAAATGCCAATTATATTTTATAAGTGTTGCTGCACTATCGGATAATTAAAATTTACAGACCGTCAAAAGGACGACAATCCAAAGACAGTTCATCCACCGACCCAGGAAATCCGTTGGTGAAAGAATCACTTCGTATCTCGTACCTAGTACTATCAGTTCAACATTCGAGTGCATTAGTCGGTGTAAGACCATATGCGAACATCAATGTTTGGTGTTGTTAATGTATCAAGGCTGTGCACTAATAACTGTGGTAGAGCTTTTATTTACTATTTCTTTCTTGTATTTTGAGTCGCCTTCAAAGGCCGTACGTAACTATTTAAGGTGTAACTTTTTATTTCCATATCATGACATCATAACAATTTGATATATATACGACAAGATGAAATTCATTAAATATAAGTTTATATATGTATATATATATGTGTGTGTGTGTATACCTCTTAATATAATTAAAGAACACTAACAGATATCAGCCAAATTAACATAACTGAATTTTATGTAAAACTTTATTGGTAAACTTCGATTATAATAGCTGAAATATGAATGTTATTGTTTGTGATTGATATTTTACTATCCAAAGACTCGTACCAATGACAAAATATTGTTTTAATAAAGTTAAAAGTATGAAAATTTTAATATTATAAAACACACAGCGCAAATGAGCCATAACGATCTTATAGGCAAGCATTCAAGAAGCGAATGCGCGTAACGAATAAGTCCTATATAAAAAGTTTCGATATGAAATTCAATTATATAATGATATCTATGCCGTGTATATTTATATATACACATTTTCGTTACTCGGAAACATTAATATTAAAAAATACTACATGTACACGCATACGAGAATATGGAAGTTATATTGTTTGCATTGTTTGATGAAGGATTTAACCCTTGATTGTTCTTTGAACATATTACAGAGGCTAGTCCATATTTACGTTGTATGTTGATTGAAGAATAAATTCATTGTATTGAAATTATCTTATTGTCAGAAAAAAATACTCAATTAACTTGAGTACTGTATTTACCTTCGTCGTTTGATGATAACTTTACTGATTAAACTATGCGTGAGTATATCGCAATACATATATAAATCATGGTAAATATATATTTATTTTATTAACTATGATGCATTATGTTATATTATAGCAAATTATTAGTAAAACAGAAACGTAAGTCTGTGTTACTATATCAACTATGTTGACAGTAGTTTCTCTTACGCTTCCTCTTAAAGTTTAGAAGATAATAACTTTAAGTATACTTAGATTCCTATATAACTGTAGAGAAAAATAAATGTATAAGAATACATTAGCAGAAATACAGCTTTCTTGTAATAAATTCACTATTTAAAGGAGAATAAAAAAACATACATTATAGTTGAATATTAAGCCTTTGGTTAATAATATATAGATAGCACGAGAAATTAATACAAGAAAGCGATATATCCTTTCCTCAAATTTAACAATCGCCATGCGAATTTATTTTGATATAATTACACAATATTCGTTACTTGATTCGTATCTTTTCCAAATTGTACTAATGACAAGAGTATTTCTTGTTTCTTACAAAGTAACATATGAAAATGTCCTTTACTGATTCCCAAACCCCATAAAAATTTTTTTAAATATTTTTTTTCGTACACTTTACGATTTCAAAGATATTCACAAACAAATAATTTTATTTGCAAGTAAGTTATCTATGAGGGGTTGTTTCAAATTTGCGAGAAAGTATATGTAAAAAAATCTCAGTTTATCTGCTTTGCATCATATTCAAAACTCATTAAAATCAATGAAAGACACTTTTATATGTTTCCTTGTAAAATAGAGTGTATTTATATATTCTTATGCTACGAAATAAGGTCTTATTTGAAAATTGCAGACTTAATCACAGTAACACTTAACTAATCTGGCATGTACTTAAGAATATCTAATCACAGCACATAATGAATTAAGTTTGTGATATCTATTTTATATGACTCAGAACTTCTTTCTTTTTTTTCTTTTTTAAAAAATGAAAAGAAGTCTTATTTCTTCAGCATATAATATTCAGAGTACTAATGGCAATGATCAAAACTTAATTCATAAGTTATAAAACAATTCGTACATTGATTAGATTTCATTTTGTAATAGTGTATTATAATATTGCTGTTTAATTAAAATTCATTAGCGCGCAACGAATGATCGTAGTATATAACAACTAAATATCTATAATTATGAAAAATAAATTTGCGCGTAATACATACATGCCATATTTCACCGGATTCTTCATCATTGGCCTGTTTATTCTGTAGCAAATTTTTATAATCCCCTGTATATAAACGACATAATTAACATTGACCAACATGAATATCTGCGTGAAGTTTAATCTATTCGCGAATTAGTTGTAACTTTTCGATTCTATAAACATACATATGAAATTCAATGTCTTTTTTTGTGCCAACATCATTACACATGTAATGAAGAAAATAGTTATCACTCTTCCAGTCAATCAAGGGTTAAGACACTTCGGTTTAATGGAATATTACGAAACGTATGGCAAACTGCCGGGTAAACATTTCTTACGAAACATAAATCCATTAGTAAAAACGTATGTAATATTATATAGTTCTATTAGGTAATTTGTTCTTGCCTCTCAATGTATAGAAAAAATTGTGCTAGTAATTTATTACAATATTCTATAGAATAAGCTGCAAATATTTGTGCACTGTGAACATAATGTAAGGCTTTTCATATTTTATTTCTGCGTTGTAATATGTAGTCGAGTGAAAGTGTATTGGTGTTATCCAAGGATTTATAAAAGACAGCATCGATGTCTCCTGCGTCCAGAATTACCGACTTTATTACGTTTTTTCTTCTCTTTACCTCTAAGTTCTTTGTCTTTCCGTATTTCTCTGACCTAGAACGTGTGACGGAATATTGTTACTTAATTTTTTTACAAATCCATTTGAGATATACTTGTAGAAACTCGACATTGCGTCACATAGAAATTATTTTAATGTATAGAATATTACGTTAATGTTATTCTATTCGTCATACTTATAATATGATAAAGTTATTACTATCTATTTACCAAAGTATAAAAAGCGTCATCTACACCCATTCTTGTTTTCGCCGAGGTTTCTACAAATGGCACACCATACTGCCGCGCGACTTCTCTTGCTTGAGTCATGTTTACTGCCCAAGACTGCTGAAGATCACACTTATTGCCAACTAACACCATTGGTACTTCTTCTGCATCTTTTACTCGTTTTATTTGTTCTCTATATGTACTAATATCCTATAATATTGAAAGTACAATGTATGGTGTCATATGAAAGTACGGATCAAATGGCAATAATTTGTATAACATGTTTACCTCAAAACTTTTAGCTGAGTTTACAGCAAATACTAACAAAAATCCTTCTCCTGTTCTCATGTACTGATCTCTCATTGCACTATATTCCTCTTGTCCTGCTGTGTCTAATATATCTAGAAGGCACGTTTCACCATCGATCACCACCTGTTTAACAACAGGTGTTAGGGCATTTAATAGAGCTAAATAAGATATTATATATTTTTTAAATTTTAGATTTTTAATTTAAAACTGGTTTAGGTATTTTAGTATAAAAGATAATAATCCATAAATGAACTGAAAATTACTACAAAAGATACTACCATGATAGAAATAAAATTACTATCTTTTCTAGATACACACATAAATCTTGCTTACTTGTTTTCTATATGAATCTTCTATGGTAGGATCATACTCGTCAACAAAGTGATTCTGTATCAGCTGAATGGTAAGAGCTGACTTCCCAACACCTCCAGCACCAACCACTACAAGCTTATATTCTGTCATGATGCAGTGTTTTAAGTTGGAAGTTACAACTCTTGTTGTTTTTGTCAGAAAGCGTTTCTTTTTCTGCAAAAAGAAAAAACAATATGCAAAATTGATGATAATCTTATTAAGAAAACTATTGAAATCTTTTAGAAATACTATTTATTATTAATAAAAAATTAATTTGCATTTTATATAGATCAAATAATTTGTTATTGGAATCAACTTCATTTTTGTTTTAAAAGGCAACTTTTAAAATACAAAATACAACTCATCATACGTTTTAGAAGGTTTAAATGGCAATTATAATCTCTCTCACGCACACACATACTCACACACGCACACACTCTTTCCCTGTCTCTTTCTTGCTGGATTAGTCATTCACAATTATTACATACACTTAATAGACTCACACTGCGATGAGTAATCGTCAATATATACACAACCACTTTAATCACTCGCAAATTCGAGAGCAACGTATCGGACGCGTTTGACAACTGAAAAAAGCAACACAAATCGGTAGTGTTGTGTGCACACACATCTCGAACAACGAACGGCAACCCCACATACGTACTACGTGGGTAGGCACGTAACAGATTGATTGTAATCGTGGGGCGACTGAGTGCACTTAGCACCCGGACAATTGTTGTCGGCAAGCGCCACACGAGAAATTCCTCAATAGAGTATTTTTACGAGGAGCACACGCGTCATCGACGCGCTATGCGCGTCGTTGTATTTCAGAGTAAACACACAGTGCATGCTTTCGAGAGACGCAACGCGCGGCTGAGAGGAGGAGACGGAGAGAAGCGGCTTAACGACGCGGACGATGCATCGCCCGCGGTCGTTCGCGCACTTACCGTCGCTCAAAGACTCATCTGTACGAATTGCACCTGACAATTAAAACACTCCTCTCCTACGTAATCCGCTCCGTCGCGAATTAGTCACTGGAGAAACCATCTGGAAAGGAGCATCGTCAGTGCTGCCAATGTTGCTCTTGCGAAGTTACGGAGACGGAAATGTCGGAAAGGGTGTTGACCACCGGGTTCGCGCGACTGACAGATTGCTCTCACAGATGGTGCGGGTGTGGCACACGAAATATGACGTCAACGGTGGACTTTGAGGCGGATAATTCCAAGATAAAACAATCGAAACGCACCGGACATGATAGCTATCTTTTAATTAAATAATTAATCATACATCGAGACGAATATTTTTTTGTACTTTGATTTGTGTATGATTTTCAACAAACAAATGTATTGTCGCAATCCCGCGCACGCGTGCTGCGTCGATTACAACGCCAATCATAGGACGCGCGTGGCGCTATTTTCACAAGCTGTGTCGTAATTTAAAGATTCAAGAGACTTACACGCAAAGAATCATTGGCAAAAGTAAGTTTGGTGCATTTGAAATTGTCTTTAAATAATTTCTAAAGTAACTATCTCCCTCTCTCGCTCTTTCCTCCACCATTGCAGCAGTTAGTCAGGAATATTGAGTGAAGTATCGGAGGTGAGTTTCACACTTGAATTATAGCTGAGAGTAGCGCAAATAGATTTAGCACGTTCGTCGTGATGAAGTATCGCTAAATTATCGTTGAATATCACTGTTTCGGGATGCGTTGTCGGAAGTATCGAGCAAACTGTCGCGCGTTCATTACGAAATGGCGATTGGAGACACAAGTCGCTGTTTGCAATTTCAACCGGTCTTACGTCTAAAGCATCATCGCCAATAATGCCGGGAGTAAATCTCACGCGTTCGCCGTGACAAAAGATGTCTTATTCTAAATTTCTCTTTTACGTATAAAAGTGTTTTTAAAAGCGATTTATGAGTTTTTTGACTTATTGTCAGATATAATGTCAGAAATATTAAGCAAAGTACCGCGCGCTCGTCACGAAATAGCGTTTTGAGGTTTAAGTCGTGATTCTTAACTCGCGTAAAGTATCGTCGTCGACAATGTCGGGAGCAAATTTCGTGTCGATAAGAATGATCGTTAAAAGAACGGTTGTAGTCAATATCCCACGAAATGACTTATCGAGAATACGGGGACAAGCGTCATATGTTCGCCGTAAGATGGCAGCTCGGAGTTCAAGTCGCTGCCTCTTACGATTTTAACGAGCAATCTCGCGCGCGAAGTATCGTCGTCGGAAAGCGCCGCTAATTAAGTCTCGTGCGTTTGTAGCGGACCGTGTCGTCAAGGAATTTCCAAAGTGACATCCCACGGGAGGATTAGATTCGGGAGTGCCGGCCGATATGTGTCGCGTATACTGCATTTCGAAAAACTTAACCGTTGCGATGTTCAATCAGTTACGAAAGGGATCGCGTCAGGTTGGGTACGAGTAAGCGCTCCCCCGAGTTATTCGCGATCTTCGCTCTTCGAGGATGAGTTTCGCTTTCGATCGCCGGTTTGGCGCGTTCCTCGTAGCAAAGTATCGCTGAGTTACCAGTCGGAATGTCGACGAAACGGTCGTCTCGAGTGCCGAGCAAAGTGTTATGATACGTCGGTAATGACTGAAGTTCAAATCGTTACGATCGGCAAAGGAGACTCGTGCGCGAAACATCATCGTCGGAAAATGCCCAAAAAGTAAATCTTGTGTATTTTTTGCGACAGAGAATCGTTGGACAACTGTCAAAAAAGGATGTCTCGCTGGACGATTCGATGTATCATCGGAAGAGCCAAACGAAACATTTCACGAGCGCAACATGAGGTGCTCCATTCACCGCGACCAGAGCTGTCATCCTAAGTTGTCTAAAAGAAAGTGGGTGAGTGAAAACAGAAACTGTAACACATGTTACACACACGTAGAAAGTCGCCTGCGACTTTTAGGGCCGATTGTTCCAACCTTTTGGTAAGTTAGCTGATAATTAAATCATATGTCTGTCTCTGTATAATTTGAAGGAGAAACAAAAACAGACATAAAATAACTGTTAGTTAGCTTACCAAGAGATTGGAAAAATCAGCCCTTGTATTTTTAAACAAATTTTTTCTTCTGTACATATATGATTAGTCGCTAGCGACAGCAACGACTATAGGGATACTAAATATCGCAAGACAGTCGGTAATGTCGGGGCTCTGCTCGCGCTTTGCTAATAGTCGGTAATATAGACGAATTATCCATTACTTTTTTAGATATCCAAAAAGTAATTTGTAACGACGAAATGTAAGATCTTGTAATAAGATAACACGGTATAAGATAAGTGAGACGCGAGAATTTGATTGTTGTAAAACAAAATTTGTGTCCTGAGAACATTACATACGTGTCGATCGTCTCTTAAAACTTGTCGGTCCTCGGTAGTGACATAAGTTCAATTTTCATCTAAACACATGTTGCAATGATCTCGCGGTATTCACGTCGAAATCAGCCCGTGGCGAATAAGTCCGACCAGTTGATAGTATGCAGCGACGTGCATTATCTGATTTCGCAGCGTTCGTTCCGGCAAACGGCGTTCCTTGCGATTTCTAGGCGCGACGCGGAGTTTCTGATGCTATCTGCAACAGGCTGGTCTGACTTTATCCGGGGTATCATCTCACGCGTCTTATTCCCATGGGACGTCGGTCCCACAAATTTTCCTCTATCTACGCCATAAAAGCCGATAAGAGCATCGCGCATTTTTCCCGGCTATTGTGTATCTATCCGCGGTGCCCTATAAATTCGTTTCAGAATACGCTGCTGTATGCAGTGTCGTGTGCTTCTCGGGTGTCATTGCTTCAAACTTGTCAATAGATAGCGCCGATAGATAGACGAATGACGTTTCTTGATCGGTTAAGCCTATGCGTATGAAGTATCTCACGTTTCTCAAGCCGTATCGCCGTATCAAACTTCGACGATCGATACTTTCGACACTAAGATGAAAAAAAGTACCAATATCTGCATGGAGAAAAATAATCTTGCTCTTTTAGCAAAATTGTCGTTGCTACTGCATATTCGTAGTGACGGCAGAAAAATTTAGTTTGACATAACTAATTTTACAAATTATTCGTTATCAGAGCAAAAATAGTTTCGTTGCCAGGATAAAAAAATACTTGTTGAGTGTATTTGTCCTAAGAATCACGTTAATTTGCTATTGATACAAAATAATGTATCCTTAGCAAATTTATTTGCTATCGGAGCAAAATTGCAACTGCTTATATAAGTCCATCATGGTTACAGCAAAATAATTTATAGATTTAGCAAATTATATCCAGAAAATAATAATTAGTACTCCTAGCAAATTTTTTTGCTATCCATATAATAACGAAAATATTTTGTTAGACTAGCAGAAAATTTGTTGGGCCAGCAAATTATTTTTCTCCGTGTGGACATCAATGACACCGGTACCTAATTCTGAACATTCTTGTTGATATTTGATCTTTAAATGCGAATCTTTGAACTTTCAATATAGAATCTCTAATAACAGGTACTACACTGAGAAAAAAAGGGATTGTATTGACAAAATCGGCGGTCACCGGCCATCAAAGAAATATTGAATCTATTCAACAAAATACATGTTAAATAAATTGTGTTGATATAGTAGATTTCAATGCAACTTATTGTTGCATTAACATGTATTTTGTTGAATAGATCTAATATTTCTTCGAGGGCCGATGACCACTGATTTTGTCAATCAAACCGCTTTTTTTTCAGTGTAGTGTTATTAGCGTCTAGACATTGACACTGTTACCTTAGCATTCACTTTTTACCAGCGAAAGCTCCATTTCGCTGATGTTTATCTATAAATTAATTCATATTCGAGTCTCTTTCTTTCACATTCACGTTAAGCTCAGTTCGATATTAATTTGTTATTGCTAATTTTTTCTCTATTCCTCGAGGAAACCTTATTTTAATTCAAAATTTTTCACGTAAACAATTTTCTTATACGCACTAAGAACAAAGTACTTGAAAATTTATTTGTGCGATAAAAGTTTATCTCACAGAAATAAACTTCTATATAAAAAAAACTTTATATAAAAGTTTATTTCACAGAAATAAATTGTATATCCCGCAAATAAATGTTTAAATATTTTTTCTCAGTGTACTGACATGTGTACTAATAACGCGCGAGCGGAGAGATTATATTATTATATGCGAAATAAAATCCACTCCCTAAATATCTTGAAACGAAATCTCACACAAAACGAATGTACTGAGAGAAAGAGACTTAAAAATTTATTTGTGTGTGAAATATAAAATTTATTCACAAAGAGAGAGAGAAAGAGACGAATAAACTCTTATTTTACAGAAATAAATTTAATATCCTGTAAATATAAATTTGCAAGTATTTTTTGAGTATGAAAAGTGGCAGTGTTTTCATTCGAGGCTATCTTAAGATTAGAGTGGATGGATTCTGACTCATGTTTCAATCGATTGGAGTGATATACTCCGCTGACAGTGAGATACATCAGATTCGCTCTTCAATCTCGACTGAAAATATTCACTCAACGACTCAGAGCGGGGAGCTCACTCTATAGGAGTGCAAAATAACTCGAATTCGAGCGACTCGACTGTCGCGTTTTACTTTTCGGGTGGAAAATTTTTCACTCAAAGAAAAGAGACTAAATGAATCCGTATTTGAGTCTAGCTTCTCGCGCTTATTTTACGTTTAGTTGTCGATATTAATTTCCTTTGCCGATCCTCCTATCCCCCGAGGAAACTCCTTTATTTGGAACTTTTCAAGTGAACAGTTTCCTCATGCACTAAGTAACGACGTGGAGGTGGAGATATTATACACGCGAGAGGTGAAATCTACGGCGCACGCAGCTCGGCTAACGAGATCACGCGCCTCGGAGGCGCGAAGGAGGGTCGAAGAATACATCGTTAAAATCTGATACGACGAGGGCGGCTCTC